GTTGCTGTTGTATTCTATCAGCTGCCACTAATTGAGAACATTCATTTACCAACTATCAGCTATCATTATGAATCACTAGGTACCAGATTTTCTTCCCACCTAGTGCGGCGGGTTTTCTCGTCGTCACTTGTGGTGTGTGGTCTGTACTCGACGCGCTTCTGGTTTTCTGTAACAATTTTTAGCGCACGTGCCTGGAAAGCTAGAGCGGCTTCGATTCCCTGACTGCTGCGAGAGGTTCTGCCGCATAATCCAGCATTCTTGAACACGTGAGTGTTGTTATCCTCCCAGCTGAAGCTGATATCAAGTGAATCGGCCACTATGAACAGAAAGTGGTTGGCCTGGGGAAGACTCGATCTAAGGCTCTGGACTGCGGTAAGCTACGATCGCCACTACCGTACATTTGCCCACTCGAAGTGTGATAGGAAACTTCAATCAAGCTAGAGAATAATTTAAGGATTGTCTTGTAAGAGCTACTCACCCAAGGCTCATTCATGCTTTCTAATGGGGGCAACTTCTTTCAACGGGAAAATTCCGAGCTCGCTAAAGATTTCGATTAGAATCGTTAAGAATGCGACGCGAAGAAAAGGGAATACCCCTCATAGCTCCAAAAGAGCTCCACAGCGAGAAAGAAGCTGTCCTGCTGGGGTCAACCGAGATGTCCTATTCACCTTAGTGAGAGGAGGGGGTCGTATATAAAACTACTGGGATCAGTAAATGTGACATTGAGGTCGTATGTGACGTCGGGGGCATGGGTGGGAAAATGAGAATTGAGAAAAACCGGAAAATGAGAAAAACCTAACATAATAAACCCTCACAATGAGCGTATCGGGCTACCGGTGGAGAAGAAAAAGGCGTAGTAGCAAAGTTACAAGATAAACACTGATGAACATCGGCGGATATCTCAGATCCTCAGCTCACGCTTCCCTGAACTAAACGAGGCGTAAAGAGCACACGACCGCAACCTTCCCTTGTTGCTTTCGCTGTTTTCGGCTCGTTGAGCCAAACGTCCCATGTAATGTTTCTTCATGAGAATTCACTACATTCAGTGTTGAGTTCAACTCACTACATTCAGTGTTGAGTGAGGAATGAAGAGGGCTCGCTATTAAGAGCACAGATCGGCGGCCGACGAAATGTGAGTGCCTCGAAGTGCCGGCCATCAAATGACTTTCACGTCAACTAGTGGCCAGAACTCATTAGAACATCAGCCCTTTGAACGATCCAACGACCCTGAGATAGCTGCGCTGAAGCCAAGGTGAGAGCTAGGCTGAGTCGCAAATGAATTGAGTTCAGCTGAGCTACGCTTCATTAAAGGTCCGAGCGCATTCGTCGTGTCCTTTACGCCCTAGAAGACACGTGCAGCGGAAACTGACACTTGGAAGATGACTCTTTTCCCTCCTTCTCGCCTTTTTGCAAATTTTCCCACGCGATCCTCTAGCAGGATTCTCAATCCCCGTGAGGGCTCATTATGTTAGCCCCAAGACAGTCGTGCTCAAATAGGAGACTGACGCTTCTGCACGAAGGTTCAACAGCTCACGCTCACCTCAGCGCTTCCTGCACTAGTGTACAACAAACTGACCTTCTTCTGAAGCGCTTCGGAACTGCACGGATTGTACTGTAGCTAAGAGCTAGGCTTTAGAACAACTCCTTCAGGCCTTTGTGCAAATTTACATTAAGTTCCTGGTTGTTACCATCAACTGACTGATAGAGACTTACCATCAAATTAGTACATAGTTCGGCTCTTGGAAGCAGTCCAGACATTCACGCTTTCACGCACAGCATATAGCCCAGTTTTCTAAATCTCTGCCTTCATAGGAAATTTTTTGTCTGCGACATCAAAATGAGTGGTACCATCTGTAATAGCGAGCCTCAGGTCATCCAGCTGGAAAAAAATGGGCTCGGAAGGTTGCTGGCTATTCACAAATTAGTATCGCACGGATCAATCAAACATGCAAATTCCTCAGTGGTAATAAAATGTCGACGATCGCTGTCCGGAAGGGTAAGCGCTCAATAAGAATGGCGTTCATACTTGGAGTAGGCTATCCAGCAACTGCAAAGGCAGCTGAACAGCTTTGAAGATTGTCGATTTCATTGCCTTCTGACTACAGCCGTGGATAGTGCCGGCAAAGTACGGGAAAGAATGGCGCATGCTGGCTCTCAAATTGGGGAGACGTCTGAGAAGTGCGTAATGGTCTCAAAAAAAAACCAACCAAAAAAATCAAAATCATGGAAGTTTCTGTATGAAGTTGGCACTTATTTCATTTTGAGTGCTAGGAAGGAAAAAGCTAATGAAAAAAGAATATGAATGATGTGCGAACAGAAGGTCCTAAAAGAGTGAGTGTAGAAGGCGGATCCTTTTGAAAGGTTGGCGTGAATTCGTTCCGCCTCGGAAATGACAGCTGCTGAATTGGACGGCTCAGATCTCGATTCTCACCACAAAAACCTACAGAAGCCATTCGTACTTGTCACTCTGGCACGAGAAGAATAGAATGCCTTAGGTGATGCCGGGAATAAGACCAGTGATTGCGGAATGAGAACCTCGCTAAAGGGTTCGTCATGGGTCGGAAAATCCTGGAACGGAATGTGGCATGTGCGGGTGGCAGTCATTTCTAACTATGGATGTGCAGTCCTTGTAGGAGGATCTAGTTTGAAAGCTAAAAATTCGGTCGGCGAAAGAAGCTCAGGTTATGTCTTCGTCTCCATGTCGTGATTTACAGCAGTCTGACGGTCGATGATTCTTGGTACGACGTGGTTGGAGATAGTCTCAACCTGACACTCAAACCATCCCCCAAATTTCCTTCATAACCTGCCGATTTAGAGCCAACCAGGGAGGTGGTGGCGGGAACGGGTATAACTGCTGCTGGATAGCACCTCGAGATTCACGCCCCTGTGTCTATTTTCCCACCTTTTCCCCGCCGTCACGATATAACTACTGTCACATCTTATGTTTTAACAATGTTTTATATACACCCCTCTCTCACCAAGGTAAATAGGCATCTGTGGTGATCCTTCGGTTGATGCTGTTTATTGATTTTGGATTGGTTTCCAATTTGTTGTTAGCCCAGTCTCTCAAGACGGCACGCGCCAACATTTGCTCCTCTGTCAATTATCTGGGTCAAGCTTCTATGGTGGCTCACTGAGCATTATCTCTCATAGCGAAACGACTGACCGGACCGATAGCTTCGGGGCATCTCAAAAAAAAAAAAAAAATGATTTCTCGTTATAACTTCGGAAAATCACTGTAAATTATCAAGCACGCCGCCGATATGGTTCCATTCCCTCGTTCATGGTTGTGGGTAGGCGAAAGCAGGTGTGGGAAGGAGGTGTTTGTAAGCGCTTATACTGGTGAGGTGTACAAATGGCACCAGTGTCTTGTGTGTAAGGTCTTTACTCTTCCGTTTTACTTGTTCTTTCTTTCCTGAATGGGCGGAAGTGGTGTAGTGGCAAGTGGCACGCTTACCACGCGAGCGGTCCGGGGATCAAATCCTGGGTCGTGAGTCGCCCGGGCCAACCAAGCCTTCCATCCCTCCGGGGTCGGTTAATTGGTACCAGACTTGTCTGGAGGATAAAAACACTGACTTGTACATCGGCTGGCCCCCGCAAGTCATTGTATAGGCCACATCGCATTCAAACGCCACTACGAATGTACAAATGGAAGTAGAATGCGTGCCGCATCCCAAAAAGGGATTGATCAACGGCAAATGCTTTATCCTTTTCTTCAACTCTTGAGCTTAAGCACTCCTCCCCCTCCCCTTCGAGAAAGCAATATCGAATGTATGAGCAATACAAAATGAGCAAAAGTTTATTTACACTGGTGAAATGGGTTACACCAGAACTAGTACTAACGTCTCCAAAATGGTAGCTTTAAATCCTATCTCAGTTCTAAGGATGGTCAGCGTGGTAAATGGATATCTCATGTAACTAGTTATTGTTATGATATTACAAAGCACCTTAATTGATGTCACAATACGACAATAATTTTAGAAGAATCTCGGTCCTGGAGTGAGATTCACTGGCGCCGGCATTACACAGTACACTGGTGGCGGGTAGGGATACGGTCCCGGCGGATAGGCCGGGTACGGTGCACGCCTCGGTGCTTCTTCTTCTGAAGACCCACGATGTGATCCGGCAGTGGAAGCGGCACCAGTTGGTGCTGTGGATCTTTCTGAGTCGTCACTTCTTGGTCGAGTTGCAGAAGGCATGCTACCGCTTGGACCAGGACAATAGACTATCGCATGTGGTGGCGGAGTAGCGTAAACTGGTGCCAACCGTAGCTCTTGTCCTGAAAAATGTTACTGTCAAAGACTGGCGGCTTTACATTGTAATAGAATATGAAACAAATACAGGCGCTCATTTTCTGGGTTCGACGACAGCCCTAGAAGTAACCCGCGTTGGGGAGAAGATTCAGGGAGAAAGTGGGAATACTCTGGAGCTCTCCTTCTACCTTAGGCTTAGCCCTAAACTGAGAGTTAGTGAGGGAATACACATTGACGACAAGCGAGTTTTGGTGTTTTTGGCCATGTGGGACCGACGCAATTTTGCGACCACATTTGTCGCGGCATACATATCCCCCGCACGATCCGACGTGGCCTGCAAAGCGCGGGATATATGTCCCGCGCTGTGGCCCGCGTGTTAAACGCGTAGCACCAAAATGTCCCCTCTCCCCTTTGAGTACATGA